GTTGATGAAATCATACAAAAAGCGATGAAATACCTAAAATTTAATAAAGATTATGTTAACAAGAAGTTAAATAAGTTTAAATATGGATTAAGTGATTTTAGGGAGTACAAAATACATTTTATTAGATCAAAATATTGTACAATAATTCTTTTCTTTACATTGTTACTGTAGCTTAGGTTTAAGTCTAGTTAATGTAATCCACTTGAATACAGAAGCAGAGGGCAGTATAACCTGCTAGGGCATATTTCCATTTCCCTGTCCATTCGAGTGATGAGAATCTTTCGATTTGAGACAATGCTAAAACTTAGGAGGTTTACATGGCGATTTTTTGCATTAAAGCATAGAAAAAAGCAATGACCACGTTAGTTTTGGAGTCACCTTTCTTTTACTTGTACTAAAACTCTGGCACATCCTAATAGTTTCTAGGATTTAATAATGTCACATAGTTTTATGTGCATGCGGAGACTTCGAGTTCTCATTCTCTTTGGATGAATTGGGGCTCATATTTACTAGTATTTTCTATATCAAAACACTGATCTTTAAATTACAGCTTCTCCACCTTATATCATCACATTTGTCAGATTATTTTATCAACTACGGTATCTCTATTATATTATGCTTAGTAAGGGATATCGTATTCCAGTGGTAACATCGGGGAATCTGCAATAGATAGATTTTTGTGGCTCGTTGATTACAGCCTTTCTACTGGTTGATTAATTCTTAAATTCCACTGGGAAAAATGTGAAATAGGCTAACAATTATGTCTAGACACTAGTGAACTTGATAGGGAGTTTCCTAATGGAATAATAGGAATAAATAGGAACACTATGGTATTCATGGTAAGATGATAGTGGACAGAAAACAATTTTAGAATTGAGTCAATCTTGTGTCTTTGTACAATTTTTATTATGAGTAAGCTGAATTTGAGAAAATCAAAATTATTGTTTACTCATGATCCTAAAATTTGTCCTCAAAGTTACGTTTTGGCAGGATCTTGTTCTTAGATTGCATCAATTATTTAGGCCTAAATTAAATTACTAATTCACCTTTCAACCCTTTCCGTAATTTGTTTTGGATCATTTACTTTACAGCATTTTGAACAAAATCAATAATATTTTGGAAAGAAATGAATTATTTTCAATTTAACTTTTAAATATTTAATTGAATGTAGGCCTATTGTTGAAATTCTATTCATTGAAACTAAGTAACTCACTCAAAACTATTTCTAAGTAGGTATACATTTTCAATTCAATCAATCATTATAAGGAACATACACTTTTATATATCATCAGCTGCAAATGTTTATTTGACGACAGTGTGTCTGTCCACAATTAAGAAGAAAGACTTCAGGCCTATATCAATACAGAGTTTGAGCAACAATAGAAAATAAAGTTAATATTATCAATAATTACATATACTAGGATAACCAACATGAAATACACAAAAACTAGACAAGTTTACTTAAAACTTGTTAATTTACTTCAAGATGAAAAAGTACATCTCACTGAAATACTTGTTCATATCTAGAGGGCGCTGGTCATGATTTGTCAATGCCCATGAATATTCAATCTATAACATGGAATATAACATTGAATGTTTTTATTTAATATTATATCAGATATCAAGTATATGTGTTTACTTTATATCCAAACCTCCACTGAGCCCCATTTCACTCAACATTCCATGCTATCCCAGCATTCCTGCTCCACAGGTACTTCTGATGTCATGTTGGTATGCGAGACAAGATAAAAAATAGCATTAATACTGCAATCAACTTTGAGGATATTAAAGCCAAAGATATTTTTTATTGCCCTTAAAGGTTTAACTGTGCAATCAATTAATCATTCAATCAACCAATCAATAATACATACAAACATAACATTAAAAAAAATGTGGAAATACTTATTAGCTAAACATTAACTGGTTAAACCTAACATAAATTTTAAAATTCATAGCCGTAACTAAGTAGAAAAAATGTATCTTCCCCAATATCAGTCACTCTAATTGATAATTAAAACTTGTTAAGTGATATGTTATTTGATTGATTGACATTAGTTATTGATTATTTGGTTAATAAATTGGGAAGCCCGATCCTGTATCCCCGCGAGCAAGCAAGAATCTCCCGGAAAATATCCTATCTCCCGCAATTTCACAATATTGGCATGTTTTTACCAATTTTGAATACTGTATTATCAATTGTTTCCCAGATGTTAGTGCCAATGGGTATTACCATCCACAGCAGAATACATTTAGATGTGTTAAGAAAGCTCATTTAAACAGATCTCCCGGATGATGACTCTTCCAACTTGGGACCCCCAGATAATGGATTGATTGATTGATTGATTATTTATGATTAATGTTTTGAAAAGTAGATTATCAAATTATATTTAAGTACAGTGTAACGTTAGAATGCGGTGGGCCTACTGAAATGGAATTCTATGTTTTGTAGTCCTTATATTTCTTTACTTTTTTATTTATAATTACCTACTTGCATTATGATGAGTCCATTCTCTGAATTTCCTAACAATCAGTTTTCGTTTCTTTAACCAAGTGGAATTTTCTGACTAGTTAGCATGCTGTTAATTCTATATTTACTATATCTCCCGCTTTAAGCATACACCGTGCTCACCTGGGGACCCCTGTGGTTGACCGCATCTCTTTGATTGATCAGCCCATCTTCATAATGCTGCACTTTCTTCCAAGATGATGATATGCTTGTTAACAGCAAGGAATTTAGAAACTGTGGTGTCTGAGGTTTTCTCCGTGGGAGAATTTCCTTCTCAATGCAGTGCAGTAATAAATTCACACTTTCAGTTTTATATACTTATTAAAAGTTGATCAATTTAATTCTTTTATATTGTTTGATGATATATACATTATTATAATTATTACAGAATGTCCTGTAAGTCTGACAGGGGGTCCAAACCAAGAGGCTGCCTTGGGCTTCTATTCAGGTTCCTGCAGGTAAAACCCTTATTGGGATCAAAGGGTGGATCTCCCATGCCGCAGAGATAAGGCTTTTAGGATGGTAAGAATTGTGTGTTTAGACCACAATAATAAGGAACGAAATGTGACTACATGGGGAAGAAGGAAGAGAGTGGTCTTATCTTGTCTGATGTGGGGAAATTTAAATTGTTTATTTAATTCATGTTGGTTCCAGATAATTTAAATTTATAGTAAATTGCCTTCAGTAGTATGTTTACATAAATAGCAAAATAAATTAAAATTTGCTTGTGTGTTATGGCTATGAATGCAAGTAGATGCCCTAAGTAAGGTGTTGTATTAAGTATCATTAAAGTACAAGTTACCAATTTTTTATAGTTAACAGTAATTTTATTTAAGTAACTTGCTTCTGCTTTTATAAAATGTATTTTATATAGCAGTGATTTAAAAGAGTTAAAGTTTCTTGTTCTTTTTTTTTCTATTACCATGATGTCACATCATTTAGTCAGTGGCAGCTACATCAAATGATTCAACAATACATGTAATGAAGGAAAAAGCAAAAACATGTTCCTATTAACCAAATCCAGCTTTTTATTATGTGCTGCCCTCATTTAGTATATCAAGTTTTATAGTCAAATTATAATATGAGTTGAAATGCCAAGGTACGAAGAAGTGATGCCCTTATTCTATTCACCTCCTATGTTGTTTCTGGTGGTGTAATTGGTGTTCCTAATTGGCATCTTCTGGTTCTGATAGGGGTACAGCTGAGTCCCTAAGGTCCCAGTGTAGGTGTAAAAATACAGAATGATAGAAATCAACGTAACGTGCAAACAATTGTGAAAAGGGCACAGAAAAGAATTTATTTTTTGCGTAGGCTTAAATCTTTTGGAATGCATCCGACTATTTTGAAGTCTTTTTATAGAGCAGTAATTGAAAGCATTTTAACATTATCTATAACCGTCTGGTTCGGGGGCGCTACCGAAAACGACTTATATGCCCTTAACAGAATCGTCAGGACTGCAACGCATATCATTGGTTTGGAACAAATGCCTCTGGAAACCATTTTCCATGATCGGCTTCTTAAAAAGGCAGAGGCTATTATAGGCGACCAAACTCATCCTGCCTCAAACCTATTCCAATTGATGCGCAGTGGTCGACGTTTTCGTTCATTGAAAGCCACTAAGGCTAGATTCAGGAATAGTTTCTTTCCTAGAGCAATTAGGGCTCTAAATTGTAGGTAAATATTCCATACTTTTGCACTTTGTTTCTTTGTTTGTGTTTGTTCTGCCTTTTGGAATGTGTT